TTAATTTGTACACGAAGGATTTTCTATAATCAATGAGTCAATAATCATAGAAATGAATGTGATAAGAAAAATCTGAACACGATAATATAATGGATGATCTATAATGAATAACTCATTATTGAATCTCTATTTCGTGGTCCTCGTTGATTGTTAATAAAATGCTCAAAATTCCTTCAGATAGAACCAATGATTTCTGATGTTTATGTAATGTAACTGTGTCGCGTTGATAGATAAGGTTGTCGCTGAGGAGCCGTTGACCTTCAGACTGAGAATACAGGAGAACAGCTTCAATATAATTTTCATATGATAATATTTCACCGAGCTTAAATGTAACTGGAGACTTAAGATCATTTTTAGAAGCACATAAATACATACATAATTCTTTTTAGATACTCAGCCTATTGGTTTATGCTCCATAGTTCATCTGCTTCCTGTCAATGATAAAAAGAAGAGATATAAAAACCAGTCATTCGTTCGATGGTGCATCAGTAGACATACTACTATTTGAAAGTATCGAATGAGTTTAAAGAAACATATTATTCCAAAATTCGAGTTTATTAGGCTATTTTATTAATTCCAAATATGAAAATTACGTTTGAAGAAAATCTCGCATAAGTGACATAAATTAAGTGTATGATTATTAGTGTTTTGAGGAAATGATTTTTTCTCTCCTATTTTCCGCGAGAATCGGGAACGAGTAAGGTGTTAAAGATGAATGTTTCTGAAAATCGATTTCTTTTTCTTGGCATGTAAATACTCTCCAAACTTTTGTCTTTCAAATAAAAAATGTCAAAATCAATCCGATGTGATATTGTTTAGATAAAGATTTTGACATTCTTGCAAAGATTTTTACATCGCTTAATAATTAAAAGAAAAATGATAAATATCTATCAGTAAATATTAAAAGAGTTCATTGATTACTCATTAAAATGTAATTCAAGTATATTTTTATTTTTCATTGGTATGATCGATGTGCTACTACTCTTTTTTTCTCATGATGCTTGATGTAGGAAATAACTCTCTTAATTAAAAGTTAATAAATTTCGATGTATAAAAAAGAATTGATTTCTTTTACTAAAATTTATCTCCAACAATAATTTTATTTTTAATTTATGATTCTTGCACATTTCATGAAGTGCAATCTAAACAGAAATTAATGTCTAATATGCGAGTTTTTCTCAAAGACGAAAAATGAAATCATGATAAGAATTTAGAAAGCATTACGGAAACAGGAATCGCGAAATGTTGTTATTGCAGGGTACTTATGATTATATTGAAATATATCTTACTAAATGAAATAATCAATTTGATAAATAGTTGTTTTATACAAGATAGGGCTTCTCTGAGTCACTATTACTAGATAAATTTTGTAATGACACACAATTGAAAATAATTTCTAAATGAAGAATAAATCAATTTTTAAATCTTGGTTCAGGAGTTCAAACCATTGACATTTTTTTTTTTACTTTATTTTCTCCTTACCATTCAGTGCCACATATATGAATTGAGCTGTTCTTCAAATTCATTTTCTCTTGCATGATCTTTATTTTTATTATTAAAACACGAAATATATTCTACAATGAAAGACTGACATCGGATCTTTCTTTTTCTATAGTGACTATCAATGAGAAAAAAAAAACAGATCATAATCATTGATAAGTCTTTCTAATCCTTCAATATGTTGACTATGTTTAATAGTTTCATTTTACTTGTTATATGCCACGCTGCCCGATTATACACGAAGAAAAAAAATCTGAGAAGAACCATTCATTTTGAATTTCCCATATCATGAAATACGTACTGTTTTCGGCCAAATATTGGTAGCAACTTGGAAGCAGGAATCAGATAGTCGCGTCTGGTGGCCAGCTCTGTCTGGAATTCGAAATATCTGGTCATTCGGTTCCGATCCTTAAGTTCTTAACACTCTTCGAAGCTTTCTTACAGGAAAAAGCGTCTCTTTATCTGAATTTCGCCGAAGACTTTGGCCTGAGTTTTTGTCATTTGAGAAAATAAGATAATTATTAATTCTTCTGTTACTCATTCTATACAAGATCATGACATTATTTCAGTTGAATATGCGTAAGACTCATAATCAACATCAGTATGATTGTAGAGACATGGTTATTTATTGTATCATTGAATCCATAGACAATTATAAATACATTCATCTGTTCTTTATATCATTAGCTACTGTTTATTACCTATCAAAATGACATTGCTGTGTTTCATTACCCACACACACATTCAAAGAGTTATGTTATAAGTTGGATGTTTCTAGTGCACATATAATCGTAGGATCAGCACCCGTTGATATAAAGAAAAATTATGAGATGCATTTTGGATAATAAAAAGCATAACATTTTCAAAGCAATCATATGTTTCTTCAGTTGTATTACATTGTAAAAGATAGATGTAAAATAATACACTTTCGCTACTTATTTATTATCATTACATAAATCTTAACAAGTACTTGTGATCCGTTGCTAATTCATACATCCTTGTACTCATTTATAAACATAGAAAACAGTATAAGGGTTTATCAAAAGGATAGATTATGCTCATAATCTTGAAAAAAAGTTGATGCAATGATCATAAATATATAATAACGATTTATTATTCTACACTTTTTTTACAGTACAAGGCATGGTTTATCTTGTCAGTCTGAGTAGATGTTTGACACGGTGGATAAAATAATCGATTAAATATATGGGCAAAATCATTTGTTTAGCGACGTGGCTTCGCAAAATTGTAATGCATATATTTCTGGACAATGAACTTATATATAGCTAATTTTTTGTATGCTGTACGTAAGTTAAGTTGTTCTAGACACTCTGAAAAAAACAGTCCTAGGAATCCTTATTCGTCATAGTTATGATTAAAAACGTAGCGTTAGCAGTGTAACTCAAAAAAGGACATCAACTTCCACTGCAAGCATTTCAGTTTGATAAATCTGCAAATTGATACACTATTTTCGAAAACTAAATAGCTCGTTTTGCAGACAACTCTTGGAGCTACAAAATATCTATCCGATATACTTGCTGAATATGTTTAGATTTTAAAATATATTGAATATATTTGACATTAATGGCGTGACGTTTTTGTTAGCGACGTGATGGAGTATGAATACACAACCGAGAAACTGTTCCTGAAATAGAATGAAAAGTTTAGAGCCGATATCAAATGACGAGTTGTTGCTCAGAGTCGATGGATTATGATAACACAAGAGTTTTCGTTTCTACACTTGACAGGGCTTCTAGAGAACCAGTTTTTTGGAAGAAAGTTTTTGGTATCCGATCTCACTGAAAATTTTACCATAGATGTAGCTCGAGGTCTAGAGCTTATACTGAAGTTTTCATATTTTTTATCATATGATTCGGGATATATCCGCTAACTGCTTTTTAATTAATTAATAATTAATTATAATTAATAGTCATTGAAAGAGCAAAAGTTTTTACATAAGTGTATGGTAAAAGAAATTATTGAAACAGAAAGCGTTTGTAGAGAATAAAAGTCAAATGAAAGAGATGTATGTTCCGTTTTACGTGATTTGGCCCATGTATTTTCATGACCTTATCAAATATAAAAATTTATAGATTAATTATGATCAACGTTATTGGTCGACTTTGGTATGTTGTATATATTTGCATTAAAACAAAGATCTGTTACCTATGTGCCTTAATTATTGCGACATATGTCATGAGAAATGTGATTATTGTGATAAGAAAGACAGAATATTGTACCTAATAATTGGACTCCGACGAATGTCGTTTTAATGAATCATTGTTAGTATGAAGGTGTTCAGTGTGTCACTGATCACTTTCTTCACGAGCAATCATAAGATTGTTTGATTTGTTCGAATTAATTAACTATCGAACACTAATGCAAAAATAGTCGAAAGTTTCAATGTTAAAAACATACTTGTTCACAGCTCAATCATGATAAGTTGTGGTGATGAAATTTCTACTTTCAGTGTACAAAATTCGTACCACAATGAATGAGGTTTGTTTCGAAATTTTCGTAATTCTTAGCGAAATCACGAATGTATCATTTGAGCTGTAATTTGTATCACACAGTTGTTGTAGAATATGCTAGAAAAAACTTATAATGAATAATTTTCAGATTTGATTTCTTCGTACTTCTCTAACATTTACGATAATTGTCCTTAAGAGCCTTTTATGTAATATTCAACTAAATAATCATGATGAATATATTGTAATATGTCGAAAATATTTCTGCTTGGATTTAACATCATGTATATAATGTCATTTTACATCATAAGTTTGAATTTAGTAACTTGACTTGCCATTTGTATGACAATTCTGATTTACATTTTAATAATTTCGCATTAGTAGTAACTATCATCAGTTTTTTATGGAAATATCCTTTCATATCATTACACAATTTTTCGTCCATATATCAATGTACCAATTCATGTAGGTGAATTTCCAAGTGATGTCATCTCTCTAGCATTCAAAATAGTGTTAATGATGGTGATGAAAGTGATGGTTATAATTGCTTCTTATTTGATTCTCATTATTGGATTCAGATATGCTAATATAATTTTACATGTTAATCGTCTCTTTGGCTGCAGCCATACACTCACAACAACTACTGATGCAGTCGATAAGATAAATGAATCACTAGCATAAAAAATATTTATTTTAAATAATATCATTCGTTTAAAATATAAATGTATGATTTATTTTATTTGTTCATTGGTAGTCTATTGCTATTGAAGCTTTTGGCTCTATTGAAAAGCATCTGTAAGCATTCCAATAATCATAGATATTAATAGTGCGTGTCTAGAAGTTGAGTTGTCGATTTATTTTATACTATTCAAGTTTTTCAATTCAATTTTCAAAGAATTTTGATTTTCATCTAATATTTAAATGTATCTTTTTTTCTATAGTCATCTCGCAATAAATATGTAAAATTTATTTTCGAATATCCTTATAGACAACAAAACAAAAAACGTTTCTTGAAATGTTATTTCATGTCAATTAAATAACTCGAAACATTTCACTTAACGAATTGCTTGTTGGTAAATTTGGGGCTGTTGAACTTTTGGCTACTTTCTTCGGATCAACTGGTATTGGACCTGCTGGTACTCGAATTCGTAAATTTTGATTTTGTTGAAGGCGTTGTTGTTCTTGTTCTTGTTGAGGTTGTGCTGGCATTATTTGAATTGATGACGGTTGTTGCTGTTGTTGTTGTTGTTGCTGCTGCTGTGGTTGTTGACGTTGCTGTTGCCTTGGTTGTTGGGGTTGTTTTTGTTGAGGTGTTGGATGATGAGAAATAACTGTAGACACTGGTGTTGGTGGTGAAGCTACTTCTACTGCAACTTCACGCATTGATGGTGTTGCACCTGTTTGAAGTGGTTGTGTTCGAAAGAGCCATGGACTATCTATACTATTCTTTTCTACTATTGTCATTGCTAGAAATGGTACTCGACGAGCAATATCAAATAATTTTTCTTTGAATTAAAAAAATGTGTAAAAAAGTTTTCGAAAAATAGAACAACAAACCTGGTTGAAGTTTACCACCGGATAAATGTCTTGTAAGACCTTCAAGACTTGGAGCATCTAACAAATAAAAAAACATACATATAGAAGATTTTCAAAACTATAATCAAACTTACGTGCTACAATTAAAATAGTTCCACCTGTAGCTTGATGTCGTTCAGTTATAACATCCATAATTGCTCGACATCGTTCATAATAATCAAGTTGACTATCATGTGGACGCATAAATGGCATTAATGGTTGATATGATTTATCAATATTATAACTATTAGCTGCTAATTCATCTTTAGTCATAAAACATAATGTACGCTTAAAATCATTTAAATAACATTCAAATAATCCCGGTTCCTATTTAACAATTAAAATAGTTCACAGAATTTAAACTACTGTAACTTACTAATTGCATTGGTATATTTTTTCGACTCATACCATTTAAAATACTATCAGCACTTTGAACGCATCGTAATGATGGACTTGTATAACAAATATCTGCTGCATATCCATTGAATAATAATGCTTTACCTGTTTTAAAAGCATGCATACGACCACGATTTGTCAATGGTACGTCAATGACATAGTGATGTAAATAAGATCGAGTTGGTAATCTATAGCAAATGATATCTATTTTCAAATAAAAAACAATTATTCATTTAAAAAAAAAACATACGCGTCAGGTAAATGTTCAGTAAATCGTATATAACGACCATTTCGATCAAAACTTTTCTTTGACCAATCTGATCCTAAAACAGCATCAGCGCGTTCAGCATGACGAATAATAATAATTCGTAATGGTTTTATAGCTGGAATAATATTTCGATTAACTTGAGAGATAGATTGTGCTTGTGAATCTGAATATATCTCATTGCCATATGCAAAATATTGGTGTTGCTGTTGTTGCTGTTGCTGTTGTTGCTGTTGTTGCTGTTGTTGCTGTTGCTGTTGTTGTTGTTGTTTAGCTACTATATTTTCTCGTTGTACTTGTTGCTAAAGATTCGAAAAGTTATTTACATAAAGAAATATTAGTTTGACATAATAGATACTCGAGCAGCAAGTAATTGACGTTCTTGTTCCATTAATTTCATGAGTTCAAATTCATATCCATTATCTTGTGTAATTTGGTTGTTTGTTGACATAGCCATTGATGGTAATCGACGGTTATTATTCATACCATTCGGCAAATTATTATGTGCCATGAGATAAATAATAATAATAATTTAATCAGTGCGATATATCTAAAGTATAATATGGTTCAAATATTAAGAGACTGATCGTCATCTATTGCATATGTAAACGAAAAAAAAATAAGATGTCGATACTTTTCATGCGTATTCATTTTTTGTTTATAAAATATAGCCATACTGTAGGATATGCTCCAAAATATCGAATAAAAACATGCGCAGATACACCTTGTGCTTGAATAAGCAAGGTTTTTACATTCATTGATGAAAGGTGAAAAATGATAAAATATTATTGCCTTTTATATATATATATATGTATATACATACATGCTTTTTCTTCACCTGTTACAGTCGATCGGTTGACGTCACACTCATTTTTTTTGTTTGCATAGATAGAAAATAAATTTGATATCAGTACATAAAAACAAACTTATTATGTGTTTATATAAATATAAAATATTTGAAGTTTTTAATAATATAATAAGTTATATGTAACATCAAATACCATACACTTGTTTATAAAATCTTAGTTTAATTCAAATAAGAAAAATAATTTATTTATTAAAATTGTATAATAAAAAGTGTATTAGACTCTTTGACTCATCTAAAAATCCTTGATCTAAATGCGCTAAATAACCAAAATCCTTTTTTTCTTTTTAATACTCTTCAGAAATATGATATTATTCTTAAGTTGAAGTTTTAACTCTGATCGATATTATTGAAGTCATATTCATTTAGTTTAGACCAGTGAAAAATATGTACATTAGTATTGTAATGTTAACAATGAATTAAACATGGTGAGTTCAGCATCAATCATGATGTTTACTCATAGAAAAAAATTGAACATCTTTTGACAAAATTCTTTAGCTAGTGATAGAATCTAATTAGATAGAGAAAATTTGAAAACTTACAGAGAATTGAGTATAAAATAGATTAAAATATTGACACTTCCACTATTCGTTATTTCAATATTTATTCTTTTAGGAATTATCTATCTGAGATTTTTAACATAGAAAATTCATTGAATAATACAAAATTGAATTATCTCTATTCAAAAGTTTCCATCGGATCTAAAATCGAGACAATATTAGAAATAACTGAGAAGTTTAATTTCTATCATTCAACAAAAATTAACAGAATGTAATTTTTTTTTTAATTTTATTTTGACTGAACGTATTATTTTGTGTACCAATGTTACTTTTGTTGTTATGTGATCTCAATTCATGGTTTCAACCAATGTATTTTATAGACTATAATCGAATGGTTTTAAATCACGCAAATTTTTTAAATAATGTTGCTTCGACATGAATGCACAAAAATTGTCTGTACACTGTTATTTCACTGAAGTAACCTGTGTGGACTTTGAAAATATTCTCCTTTTGTAGAAAATTTTTAGCACTATATTTTTTTTGGTAAAAAGGAAAAGGTGTTTGATCAAGGAAAGACATATTTGTTGAGTATCTTTTTACTAAACACTTTCAGAAATGCAATAAGGAAGTGATCAATATATTAGTAAGTATTACGTAATGTTATGAATCATGTCATTTGTTCAACATTTTATAATTCACAAATGAAACCGTAATCAAAAGAATTGTTTCATAATCATTCAATGATTCTGTATGTCGCAAATTTTTGTTGTACATAAAAATTCAAGTCGGACAGATATTTTTATATCGAAAAACAAAACTATTCAAAAAAAGAATTTTTATTGCTTTATGTCCATATTGTATTCAATTTCCAAATATCAATTGTATTAATGATAATATTTTCATCGTTAATCGGAGCATTATTAACATAAACAGCTAAATTGTTTGCATTTTCTTCTTCTGGATAAACGCGACCTGTTAATGCAAATCGACCACCTTGTGGTTCAAATATTTCAATAACTGAATGATCAATAAAAATATCTAATTCAAGAAACCATTGATTATTAATCGATGTTGTTTCCAACCATAAAGGTGCATGAAGTGGTTCATGTGCAGCTTCAGGATTCTTTTGTGATAATGCTCTATTAATGTAAACCCATATAATTTGTGCATGATTTTCTTTTTGTTTTACACCTGATATACAATCTGAATCGGATGCTAAAAGTGGAACACCCGATTTCAGAAAACAATTATTATTTATTTGTCGATCTTTAACAAATGTCCATGCTTGACATCTTTTGTCTTTATTACAAGCTATTTGACAATCAGACCATTGTAAAATATTTGGTACACTAAAATAATCCCATCCAGGTAGATCCCAATTAAACATAACACTTGTATTATCTCTTGAAGCAATACCAATACTTGTTCGTTGAATACCATCAGGCGTTGATAAAACAATTAATCCAAAATCTAAACTCTATGAGGAAAAAAAAAGCAAAAGGATTAAATAAAAAGAAAGAGTTATTTTATTTTTACTTGGCTCATTGGAAATTGCCAATTGATTTGAATTTCAATTTGATCTCCATTTATATCTGGTATAAGTTCAAATGGAAGTTCTGAAGGTAAAACAATATCATAAAAATGTTGATGACTTTGACAATCACGTAAAGTTTTTAATGCTTCAATTGGACGTGAACGTAATTCAAGTCCATCGTCAGATAAAAATATTGCACGTGGAAGTGTATGAAAACCTTGCCAACCACGCTGTGGACCTAAATTATCCTCTTCTGATGTCCAACCCATAATTATTTGTTGATCATTAATTGGATCATAAAATGTTTTTGATGCATAAAATTTTCCATAATCAATTAATTGAATATATTCACCAAGATCATGATTAAAAGGTGTAAAAATTAATTGATATGGATCAATATCTCCAACTGTCCAAAAATCATGTCCAAGTAAAGATGCTTTTAAAACAATACGATTTGTGATATTAAATATATCTGGACATTCCCAAAATTTATCATATTGATTACTATGTATTGGATGTAAATATGTCCAATTTAAGAAATCTTTTGAAGTAAATAATACAGCTTGACCACCTAATTCTTCTGTACCATAACCATATATTAAATAATAATTATTTTCAGTATCTTGAAATGCTATTGATGGATCACGTCCATTTGGATATGTAATCAAAGGATTTAATAGAGATTTTGTCCAATTTGTTAATGTTGGATCAGATATATTAGTGGGTTTTGCTTGACATTGTACTTGTCTATTTTCATTTGTTATACCTGTATAAATAATTGTTGGAATACCATCAACAATAGTTGTACTTCCTGTAAATATTCCATTTATATCATATGATTGATCAGGTGCAAGAGCTATAGGTAGATGAATCCAATGTACCATATCTTTACTATAGCAATGACCCTTTTGAAAAAGAAATAATTAGAGAAAAAAAGATTATTAGATTCGTTTCATTTTACCCAATGCATATCTCCCCATACAGCAGCATTTGGATTATATTGAAAGAACATGTGATAGTAACCATTATAATATACAGGTCCATTTGGATCATTGAGCCAATTTTTAACGGGCATTAAATGATATTGTGGACGTAATGGATCATCAGTTCGAACAGCCCCGAATACAATAATTAAAGACGTGAATAGAAGCATTGTTTGCAAATGTTTGTCTATGAGTGTGTACTTGTGTGTTGTGCAACCACATGTATTTTTATCTTGTTATCTCTAGTCAATGAAAATGCTTATTTGACAAGTATATTTAAAAAAGCTGTCATTCATTATGTTTTAATAGTAAAATTGATCTTGTTGAACCTTTATTTCAGTTATCAATGATAAAAATAGTTTTTTTGTTCAGTAGATCATTTTAAAATATGGATTCATTCTTTTCTTTTCTTTTCGTTTTTCTTCGTTTCTTCAAAATGTAATGACAAGCATACTTTTATTCATTTTGGCATGTATGTTTTTCAAGTACATTACTTTATTTATTTGTAAAAAGCTAGATTATATTATACTTGCAATAAAAAAAGAATGTTGATTACATATCATTAAATTTTTTATATGTAAATTAAAAAATAACATTAAACTTTTATTTGCTTTTTTTTTGTCTTTTTGTATTGGCTATTTAAAAATTTTTTCTTCTCTTACTTAGATCATTCATCTTGACTGAATTAGAAATAGTTTAAGAAAGTCAATGTACATTTTTCTTTCGTTATTTTTTTGCATTTTGTGGATAATAATTTATATCATTTGTCAAAATCATTATCGAAAGTAAGTGACAAACGAAGACTAAAATATCATATCGATTAAATAAAACGAATATATTTCAGGATGTTTACGGTATAAAGAAAGATGATCAAATATAGATCCAGTTTTTTTCTTTTTACTCATCATTAAGTAAAATGTGATTGTATTCATAAAGATTTATTCATTACAATCAAATATTAACTTTTTTTTTTTTCGTTCTTTTTTTCTTTTGTATGTTCACCTAGGAACAAAAGAAAGAAACAATATTTAGCGAGAATAAGAAAAAAAAACCTGAAGGATATTTCTTGCCGATAGAATATATGATTGATGTTTTTTCTCGCTGATTGTATTATATGTGATGGTCAGTCGATAACTATATATATAAGTTCTTTTGTTTTTTTCCTTTATCATACATTGAGTGATCTAATACGTAAGAATGATGTTATTCTAATGATTAAGACGATTTCTAGTTTCATATTGTAGATGAAGGGATCGAATAAAGGTGGATTTCAGTGGCAAAACTGGGATCTGAAAACTGGTTATAAAACAATTCAATGGCGATCAACAGTTTCATCACCATTATGTGCATTTTGTAATAAAAATGTTTTTCCAGCTGAAGAAGTGATTGGTGCTGGACAAAAATTTCATAAATTTTGTCTTAAATGCAGTAAAATATTTTCTTTTTCTTATTATTCATATTTCATTTAATCTTTTGTTTTTCTTTAGCTTCATGTAATACACTACTTAACTCAAGTAATCTTAATGGACATGATAAAAAGATATATTGTATAACCTGTTACCGTCGTCAATTTGGTTCACGAACAAGTAAAGATTTATTTAATACATGAAATAAAAACTGAAAGTTATCGAATCGGTTTTATTTTTAGTTAGTCATGATTTGGGTACAACATTATCAGTTAATATTGATACACCACCAAATAGTCCAAATTTAAATCGAATAGAAACAAATATTGATAGTCATTATTATCAACGAATAGCATCAACAGGTTCATCAACATCTCATATATCATCTGATAATGATATACGTCTTAGTAATTCTCAAATTAATAGTATTAAATATGTTGATTATATAACAAAACAATATTCTTCATTAAAAAATTTAACATTATTAAAGACAATATCAATATCAGGAAATATTTGTCCACGATGTTCGAAAACGGTTTATTTAGCTGAAGGAATTAAAGCTGCTGGCAAAGTAAAAAAAAAAGAGAAAGCAACAAAAAAATGGACTTTTTTTGATTTTTTTAATTATATTTTTCATTGTAGTCGTTTCATAAACAATGTTATACTTGTGCTCATTGTAAAGGAAGTATAAGTGGTGCTCGTTATTCTGAACATTATGGAGAACTTTATGATAATAGTAAAATGGTTAAATTTGTTTTAATCAAGACTTGTATATTTTCGTTACTTGTTTTTTTAGATTGTTATCAACGCTTGTTTGGTCCAAAAGGAATATTATTAGTAGGAAATAAAAATACATTATGAATTTTTATTAGACCGGTGCTATAAAAACAAAAGACTATAAATATTCACTTTTATTATTTTCCTTTATCTCATTTATTTACTGTTGATTTTTGTTTGTTTATTCATATTAGATCTAATTCTTTTGTTGTTAGACGGAACTATAAATCTCTAGGTGGTGTAGTTTCTTATATGAAGATTGTATAAGAATATAAATAAATTGTGAAACAACAACAGAAAAATGATATCTTTTAAAGGTTAAATCTATATTATAATAGACAAACTTTCTTCGGAAACTTTCATATGATTGGTCATAGAACGAAAAAAAAAGTATACATATATATATACGTCGTATATGTTCATTCATTATATATAGATATACGTCGTATATGTCCATTCATTATGAATATATATATGTCAGTCATATTTTATTTTGTTTCACATTATAAACATTATAAAAGTTTATACATTTACAAAATAAAATAAATTTATTTATAAACATAATAAAAGTTTATATATTTATATATTATATAAACAGAATAAAAGTTTATACATCTACAAAATAAAAAAATTTATTTATAAACATAATAAAAGTTTATATAGTTATTTATATATTATATAAACAGAATAAAAGTTTATATATTTACAAAAAAAAACCTATTTATTTAAAAACAAATAGAAATTTATATATTAAAAAAAATAAAAACTTATTTACAAAAAGAATAAAGGTTCATATTTTTATTAAAAATATATTTATTTAAACATAAAAATTTATCTATTTATAAAAAAATAAAATTATTTATAAAAATATAGATTAAAGTACACAGGTACTTAAATTACAGTTCATAGATTGAGAGTAGGAAATAGAATTAATATAGAATTAAAACAGAGAAAGAAAAAAAACACATCACACTTGAAATAACAGCAAGTATATTATATATATTAAGTGTCTATAATAAAATTGATTAACTCTAAACTAACACTTTTTAAAGTTTTGTTGTTGAAAATGGCAGATAAGCAACAAAAACGAAAAGAATATATGAAAACATATCGTGAAAGAAATTGTGAAGAAATGAGAGCTCAAAAGAGATTATATTACGAAGAAAATCGTGAGACAATTTTGGAACAAAAACACAAATATTACATAGAAAATCGAGATGTAATTTTGAAGCAAAGAGGTGAAAACCGAGAAGTAAATTCAGCTCAAAATCTATATTATAATGTACAAGTGTTTTTCAGTTCTTCGGGAACTTTCATATGATTGGTCAAAGAACGAAAAAAAAATACATATATATGTACGTCGTATATGTCCATTCATTATGCATATATATGTCAGTCATCTATATTATATTTTTCATTCAGGAACTTATGTAAATTAAATCAATTTCTCCAATAATATTAATTTTTTCCGATAATATTAAAGTTCAACCAAGGGGGAAAAGGCGAGACTCCCGTACTCCCGCAATACAATGGGAGTACAGTGGAAGTACAGGGAGAACAGTGGAGGTACAGGATAGTACAGGGGTGTACAGTGGAGGTACATGGGAGCACAGTGAAGGTACAGGGGAGTACAGTGAAAGTACAGGGGAGCACAGTGAAGGTACAGGGAAGTGCAGTGGAGGTACATTGTGGCACAGTGAAGATGCAGGATAGTACACGGGAGTACAGTGGAAGGACAGGAGAGCACAGTGAATGTACAGGAGAGTACAGTGGAAGTACAGGGGACCGCAGTGGAAGTACAGTGGAAGTACATGGGAGCACAGTGAAGGTACAGGGGAGTACAGTAGAAGTACAGGGGAGCACAGTGAAGGTACAGGATAGTACAGGGAAGCGCA